TGGAAGGCAGCACAGTATGGCCTTGCTCCAGTATGTGTTCGATGGTGCGGAGAGGGAAGTTAAGGTCAAGCCTCATGGAAACGCCAAAAACAGCAAGCCATATTATCGCACTTCGGAATTAACCAAGAACCGGCTCGAGGAACTCGCTAAAAAACATCCCCCAAAGGAAGCTTTACATAAGAGCCTTGAAGAAAGTGGTGGAATTTTGAAGATAACATCTGCTGGTGGTCATGCACGTAATGTGAGGCAGTTGACCAACATAAAGCAAAAGAGTCAAGAAAGTGCAGAAGACGATTTCGTGGAGCTGTTGCAAATGTTGAAAGAAGATGCCAGAGATTCAGACACTGCTTTCGTGAGGAAAGTTGACAACTCTTCCGACCCTTGCGTAGTACTTGCCTCCAACCAACAACTGCTAGATGTTGAACGGTTTTGCACTAATCCAGCTAAATTTAGCGTTCTGGGTGTGGATGCCACGTTCAACTTCGGGAGGTTCTACGTAACTTTGACGACATACCGTCACTTGCTGCTTCGGACCAAAGAAAACTGCCATCCGGTTAGAATTGGCCCTACATTACTCCACCACAGAAAGGAGGCGGGCAGTTACTACGAGCTCGCGTCCACCATGGTAAAGCTTCACGCCCCCTCTCAAAACGTTCTGGTATATGGTACAGACGGGGAGAAAGCTCTTTCGGAGGGCTTTGGAAGACCTTTGCCATTCGCGTTACATCTCATGTACGACATTCACATGAGGGACAACATCGACAGCAAATTATCGCAGCTTGGGATTCGTGCACCTGTTTCAGAAGAATATCGAGCCGATATCTTCGGGAAAAACATTGGTAGTATTCGTATACCTGGGCTTATTGATGCCTCAAATCCTGCCGAGTTTGACGCCAAGGTGGTATCATTGAGTGAAGAGTGGAAAAGGAGACACCCACAAGGGGGACGTTTCTTGACGTACTTCAATAAGTACAAGGCAGAGCAAATAAAGAAAACCATGACGGTCGAAGTTCGTTCTATGGCTGGTCTTGGTTTTCCACCTAGTGTGTACGACCAGAACGCTAACGAATGCATGAATTCCGTTCTCCAAAGGGAGAAAGATAACACGGGAAAGAAGCGATTATCTCTGCCGCAATGTGCTAGACTTATACGGACGACCGTTGCCAGACAACGAACCGAAGAGCAGTTAGCACTGATTGGAATTGGCGATTTGGAGCTTGATCCGTTGTATCTTGACCTTGCCGTTGACGAGACAACCTTTTACCGCAAAACAGCGCAGCAGAAGCAGGCGGTGCTGAAGAAGTTTAATCAGCAAAAAGTCAGAGCCGAAGATATAGCATCAACCTCTGCAAATGATGAACCCCCTCCTACTGTGGCCCCCTTATCCGTATCTGCCCAGCAAAGCGGCATTATTCGTGTGCCCTACTCATTGCTAAACGCAATGTTTAGCAAAGCGGGTTCTCTACACTTTCGTGGCCAACAAGCCATAGTAGCAGCACCAGGAGCTAATCGCAATCCCCAACGCTTTGTTGAAAATGAATCGGCACGTGCTTCGCCCTACATGGTCTCAACAAAATCTTCAAAACATGGGGAAGTCTACTACGAGTGTTCAGAAAGCTGCATTTCTTTTGCGGCCTACGGCCTTTGCGCGCACGTTTTAGCCGTAGCAGAGTTAGATAACAATTTAGACGACTATCTAAAGTGGTACAAGAAAGTCAAGCAGACCCCAGCCAATGTCACCGCATTAGCAGAGATGGACTTACCGTCTAGTCGGGGCACCAAGAGAACAAAAGCGACCCAAATACGAAAGGGGGGAAAAAACACGAACAAACGGCCAAGAACGGTGGTTGAAAACTACATCGACCACGGTGAGATGCCCTCCGCTTCCATCATCACAAGCGACGCAACAACCAGTTGTGCCGTGACAAACGCCACCGCCAGGGGTCGCTCGACAACACAGGTAGACGCAGTAGCAGCCCAATTGTCCACTCAAACACAGCCAGTGGTAAGTTTACAATCTGGTCGGTAATGTATTGTCTTCTATAGAAATTTATCTATATAGAGAGAAAAGTTAAAAAAGACCGAAAGTGGACAAGGTTTGGATATCTTTCAGATGATTCTGCAAAACCAGCCAGTTTGACTCCAAATGGCCCGAAAGGCCGTTTGGCAGTCCGAAATGGCACACTTTAAGAGACTGGCCCAATTCTTTGGAAACATCTAGCTTGATTTTTGAAAACGAAACTACCGCAAGTTGCAGCCTTTTGACTGAAATTTGGCCAAAAATTTAGTCCGATAAGCCGGAAATTCACACCCGAGTAGGAAAAGAAGAGGAAAAATAGAGAGAGCGAGGAAAAAGGAAGGAGGGAAAGAGAAAAAAGCAATGGTTGCACTCTTACTTTTTATATTGGCTACTTTGGGAAAAAAGGGTCGGAAGAGGTCTATTCTAGCGCAGCCACCTTTTTCTAAATCCAGGCAGATATAAAGTTTGTGGTTCGATATCTCCGTAGAAGAGTGCTCAATACATAAAGTAGAGCGTGATATATATTGTTAGCAGAAAAATAACACTTCTATCCCCACAAGCCTGTTTCGTGATTGCTCACTCATCAGGGATCCCCTATATATATATATATCCTAGGTTAATCTTGGACGGTCTAAAAAAAGTTAATGGCCTTGGGTAAGCTCGACAAACTTCGGAAGGCTTAGTTAATGTTCGGGAATTTTCGAAAAACTTCGGAAGGTTAAGTCAAAAGAACCAGCGAAGAAATATCTCACCATTAACAAAGTTTTTAAAAATGTACCAGTATTAAGTTTGTACTAACTTCATTTGTTAAAAAAAAAAACAAAAACAGGCTCCCTCGACAAGTGCAACATTATGGAATGCGTCTTCCAGTGATGGAACAGCGTTGCCGTCACCCCCCAAAATGCAGGAGGGTGCCTTCCAACTTGGGCTACTGAGATTCTGCCACTCGTCGGTGAAGAAATGCTACGGTTGTGGCCAGTTGTTGAAAATGAAAGGAGGAGATGGTCAATGGCTCATACCATCAGCCCCAAATGACCTCGTTATTATCACTGCCACGAGGAGGACCTATTGGCAAAACGGTGAACAAAAGCGTGGTCACCTGGGGAACGTATACTTTCATTGCCGAGTTGAATGTGTGAGGGCGATGCAAGCAGCTTTTCTGCCTTTTCTTGTGGTCATCCCCAGTGTTCTTCGACCTCACTTGATGCCAGCGCATCGCCAGCACCTCGCCCAGGAATTACAAATACTGGTTTAGCTGACGGCTGGGAGTAAAGTGTAGAGCGGGTTTGAAATGCCCTTCAAAAATTGGTGGTTTTAGCTTATGTCATCAAAGTTGTTCCTATTGATCGATTTGTTTTGGAATTAAACCTTGTGCAACTTTTGATGTCTCGATGAACGGTTTTCTGAACTTTCAGAAAAACTGATATTTTTTTGTCATTTCCAGATTTTCAGATGTAATAATACTGATTCAAATGAAGGGAGGGTAAATTCTACTTAACCTCGTGTACAATTTTATGACGTAATTTGAGTAAACTATTGTTTGGCGTCGATGGGAAACCACCAATATCTTATAAACAAAATCAAGGTACTATGTGTGATGATGAAAGTAAGTAAGCGTATTACAATTTACTGCTGCCGTTAAAACCACAAGTGACTTCGTCATGCGATAGTAAATGGAATGATGATTTTAAGTAATAAATTCCGAATGAATTGATACTGTAAAAGATTTAGTATCGGGCGTGGCTCTCCTTACTCACAGGTTATCGGACTATATACACTTCTGTGAATGTTTCATTCCATTTACCTTGAAAGCTCCTTATATATGTTGTAAAGGTAATATAAATGTTGCGGTTTTTTCTATAAATTGGTGCATTAACCGGGGGGGGGGGGGGGGGGTACTTAAAAAAGTTTTATAGGGGGGGGCCCCACCCCAAGGTCCACCCCCTTCCCCTTCATATCCCTTTTTTTGAGAGAAAAGGAACCCCTTCCTTATAATTTCCCCTTAAAAATTATACCCCTTTCCCATACCTATTTAAAAACGTTGTATCCTTTTTTTTAAACCTTGGAAATGGGGTTAATAAGCCCAGAGTCCAAAAGA